GAAGAGTTGTTGCAAGCCTCTACGTGATGCCTCCTCGTCTTCACGTCATACACTTGCCACCAAAAAAAGGAAGCTTGGACAGCCGACGAACAGACATTCGAAGAAGCTGGCCGTAGAAGCAAATGATGAAGCTAAAGAAGAGATGGAGAGGGAGCTGAGAGAGCCTCAAAATGAGCCGAGGGAGCCTCAGAAGGAGCCAGTTGGAATGGACAAAGACCTAATCAAGCAATGGGTGGAGGAAGGCGTTTCAAATTGCATGAAAGAGTTGATGCCTTCGATAGTTGAACAAACTTTACGTCAGGTCATCCCCATGCCATTGATCGGGTATTTCATGAGGTTTTTCGAAGATTGGATAATTATGGTATTTCGAGAGCTGGGGATAAAACTAGAGGAGCTGAGAGTCCATCCACTCCATACTTTGGTCATGGGGTAACTTCTTAACTTTTGCATTTCACGTGGCATTTTTTGACATTTTTCGTAAGTTAAAACTTTTTCATTCTTTGTAAAATGATGTCAAGCAGTCCTCTCAGGCGGCCTTCTCCACTCGAGGAGAATCAAGCGGTCCTCTCAATCCGGCGGTACCAACTTTTGGTCATGGGGTAAGTTTTTTGACATTTGCACATTTATGAATTTTACCAGAAAATGAAATTTGTTTCTATTTAAACTAATATTTTTGGTTTCGAAAAACTCTTAGGTGGTTGATAACGAGTATGAGAGAGAAGAGAAGGAAGATAAAGAAGGGAATGAAGAGGAAAAGAAGGATGAGGATGAGGAAGAAGAGAATGAAAACGAGTCAAAGAAAGAAGAGGAGGAGGAAGAAGAGAAGGAGGAAGAGGAAAAGAAGGATGAGGAGGAGGCTAAGAAAGAAGAGGATGAGAACGAGCATGAGGTGTTTGCCAATGAGGTAAACTATTTACAATTGCATTTGACTATTGTACATTTTTTCTTGAATAACAATTTGTTTCTTCTGGAATTAATATTTTTTGTTCTAAAAACTCTTAGTCGATTCATGAGGAGAGGTCCGAGAATAAGTCCCCTCAGGATTTGGAGCAGGTGGTTGAGAATGAGGTAAATGAACATTTGTACATTATTTCCAGAATTAAACTTCTGTTCTCATAAACGACTATTTTTTGTTGCCAAAACTCTTAGGCGATTGATGAGATGACTGATGTGGAAAAGAAGTCTCCTGAGATTATTGAGAGTGTGGAGCAGGCGGTGAACACTAAAATTAATGAGAGTGAGAAGAAGTCTCCTGAGATTATTGATAGTGAGAAGAAGTCTCCTGACATTGTCGAGATTGCTCATGAGGCTGTTGACTACACTGTGAGTACAACAACTAATTTTTGTTCCAAGTTTGAACATTTGTGAATGTGTCTAGAATCTCTAAAACTGATATATTTTGCTACAAAAACTCCCAGACAATTGATGAGAAGGATGATGAGGAGAAGAAGTCTCCTGACATTGTCGAAATTGCTCGTGAGGCTGTGGAGCAGGCGGTGAGTACAACAACTCCTTTTTGTTGCAAGTTTGTGCATTTGTCAATTTCTCCACAATCTCGGACAAATAATACTTTTGCTTAAAAAAATCCTAGGCGATTGATGAGAATAATGATGAGGATAGTGAGCCACGAAAACAACGACGTACGAGGTTCTTGGGCAAAAAAGTAAGTTCGCCCTTTGTGAACGTCTTGCAGAAGGACGAAGAGAAAAAATGGACTCGCGCCTACAAAAAATGGATGAAGGGTAAAGATGCTACGCTGTAAGTGTTGATTTATTATCTTTACATTTTGTAAAATAGAGTTTTTTATCAGTAATA